AAAACAGCAAAGGTCTGAGAAGAGCAGAGAATTGCAAGAGCACAAAGATAGATTTATAGGCAATTTTCTTAAATATTAGTGGTCTTATTGTTCAAATTCGTATTCGGGGATGCAGTTTAATTTCTGGAGGAATCTAGAAAGCAATTTTTTGGCAAAAAAATCAAAAGGTTAATGAGAATAAGGAATCCACAACATTAGATTTTTTTCATGACAGCGTCCAAACCCGAAAGCCCTGAAGAGTAAAGGAGTCTTGGGGATAAACAAAAGTTAATGTTCATTCACATTAACAATATTCGCCAGATCTTTCGCCTTTTGACTTGTTCCATTTGCCAAACTTGAGAAAACGCCTTTCAGAAGGAAGAAACAAGTCCAGGAAATCATAGGATCTGCAATAATCCAGTATACAAAGGTTCATACCAGAAAATGAGTTCAAAAAACAATTGAAAATGAATCAGAAATTGGATAAAAATGTTACTTACATGTGTTTTAATGAAAAGATAATTTTAGGTTAAATCATTATAACTAAATTATTGAAAAGCGACTTTTGTTTCTTTCCGAGCACCGAAGACATTATTTATTAAACGACCCTTGTATAAGGTGACCTACCGATGTACAATATCAGGTGTCCTCTGGTCCCCCTACTGATGTACAATATGAGGTGACCTCTAGTCCCCCTACTGATGTACAATATACGGTGACCTCTGGTCCCCCTACTGATGTGCAATATAAAGTGGCCTCTGATCCCCTTACTGATGTACAATATAAGGTGACATCTGGTCCCCCTTCTGATGTACAATATGAGGTGACCTCTAGTCCTCCTACTGATGTATAATATAAGGTGACCTCTGGTCCCCTTACTGGTCCCCTACTGATGTACAATATGAGGTGACCTCTGGTCCCCCTACTGGTGTACAATATAAGGTGGCCTCTGGTCCTACTGATTCACAATATAAGGTGACCCCTGGTCCCCCTGCTGATGTACAATATAAAGTGTCCTCTGATCCCCTTACTGATGTGCAATATAAGGTGACCTCTGGTCCCCCTTCTGATGTTCAATTAAAGGTGACCTCTGGTCCCCCTACTGATATACAATGAAAAATGGCCTCAGGTCCCCCTACTGATGTACAATATTAGGTGACTCCTCTGGTCCCCTTACTGATGTACAATATAAGGTGACCTCTGGTCCCCCTACTGATGTATCAATATAAAGTGTGGTCCCCCTATTGATACAAAGAAGGTGACCTCTGTCCCCTGCTGATATACAATATAAGATGACCTCTGGTTTCCCTGCTGATGATCAATATAAAGTGACCTCTCATCCCCTTACTGATGTACAATATAAGGTGACCTCTCATTGATGAACAATATAAGGTGACCTCTGATCTCCCTACAAATGTACAATATAAGGTGACCTCTGGTCCTTCTGCTGATGTAAAATATAAGGTGACCTCTGGTCCCCCTTACTGATGAACAATATAAGGTAGCCTCTTGTCCCCCTTACTGATGAACAATATAAGGTAGCCTCTGGTCCCCCTTCTGATGTACAATATAAGGTGACCCTTGGTCCCCCTTCTGATGTACAATATAAGGTGACCCTTGGTCCCCCTGCTGATGTACAATATAAGGTGACCTCTGGTCATCCTACTGATGTTAAATATAAGGTGACCTCTGGTCCCCCTACTTATGTACAATATAAGGTGACCTCTGGTCCTTCTGCTGATGTACAATATAAGATGACCTCTGGTCCTACTACTGATGTACAATATAAGGTGTCCTCTGGTCCCCTTATTGATGTTCAATATAAGGTGACCTCTGGTCCCTCTACTGATGTACAGTACAATATAAGGTGACCACTAGTCTCCGTACTAATGAAAAATATCGGGTGACCTCTGGTCCCCGTACTGATATACAATATAAGGTGTCCTCTGGTCACCCTACTGATGTACAATATAAGGTGACCCCTGGTACAACTGCTGATGATGATCAATATAAAGTGACCTCTCATCCCCTTACTGATGTACAATATAAGGTGACCTCTGGTCCCCCTTCTAATGTTAGATATAAGGTGACCTCTGGTCCCCCTACAGATGCACAGTACAATATAAGCTAGTCCCCGTACAATATAAGGTGACCTCTGATCATCCTTCTGATGTTAAATATAAGGTGACCTCTGGTCCTCCTACTGATGTACAATATAAGATGACCCTAGGTGCCCCTGCTGATGTACATATGTGACCTCTAGTCATCCTACTGATGTACAATATAAGGTGACCTCTGGTCCCCCTACTTATACAATATAAAGTGACCTCTGGTCCCCCTACTGATGTTCAATATAAGGTGACCTCTGGTCTCCTTATAAGGTGACCTCTGGTCTCCTTATTGGTGTTCAATATAAGGTGACCTCTGGTCCCCCTACTAATGTACCTTATAAGGTGTCCTCTGGTCCCCTACAGATGTATAGTAGAAGGTGTCCTCTGGTCCCTTTATTGGTGTACAATATAAGGTGACCTCTGGTCCCTCTACTGATGTACAGTAGAATATTAGGTGACCACTAGTCCCCGTACTGATGTAAAATATCGGTGACCTCTGGTCCCCCTGCTGATGTATAATATATGGTGTCCTCTGGTCCCCCACCTGGTTCACAAAATAAGGTGACCCCTGGTCCCCCTGCTGATGTACAATATAAGGTGACCTCTGGTCCCCCAACTGATGTACAATAGAAGGTGACCTCTGGTCCCCTTATTGGTGTACAATATAAGGTGACCTCTGGTCCCTCTACTGATGTACAGTACAATATTAGGTGACCACTAGTCCCCGTACTGATGTAAAATATCGGGTGACCTCTGGTCCCTGTGCTGATGTACAATATAAGGTGTTCTCTGGTCCCCCTACTGATGTACAATAGAAGATGACCCCTGGTCCCCCTATATAAGGTGACCTCTGGTCCCCCTACTGATGTACAATATAAGAGTGACCCTCTGGTATACCTTTGGTTGATGATCAATATAAAGTGACCTCTCATCCCCTTACTGATGTACAATATAAGGTGACCTCTAGTCCCCCTACTGGTGTTTAATATAAGGTGACCTCTGGTCCCCCTTTTGATGTACAATATAAGGTGACCTCTGGTCCCCCTACTTATGTTAATATAAGGTGACCTCTGGTACCCCTTACTGATGTACAATATAAGGTGACCTCTGGTCCCCCTTACTGATAAACAATATAAGGTAGCCTCTGGTCCCCCTACTGTTACACAATATAAGGTGACCTCTGGTCCCCCTTCTGATGTACAATATAAGGTGACCCCTGGTCCCCCTGCTGATGTACAATATAAGGTGACTTCTGGTTTTCCTACTCATGTTAAATATAAGGTGACCTCTGGTCCTTCTGTTGATGTACAATATAAGATGACCACTGGTCCTACTACTGATGTACAATATAAGGTGTCCTCTGGTCCCCTTATTCATGTTCAATATAAGGTGACCTCTGGTCCCTCTACTGATGTACAGTGCAATATAAGGTGACCACTAGTCTCCGTACAATGTAAAATAGGTGACCTCTGGTCCCCGTACTGATGTATAATATAAGGTGTCCTCTGGTCAACCGACTGATGTACAATATAAGGTGACCCCTGGTGCAACTGCTGATGATCAATATAAAGTGACCTCTCATCCTCTTACTGATGTACAATATAAGGTGATCTCTAGTCCCCTTTCTGGTGTTAAATATAAGGTGTTCTCTGGTCCCGCTACAGATGTACAGTACAATACTGGGTGACCGCTAGTCCCCGTACAATATAAGGTGATGTAATGTAAATATAAGGTGTGACCTCTGGTCCCCTACTGCTGATGTACAATATAAGGTGACCTCTGGTCCTCCTATTGATGGACAATATAAGGTGACATCTGGTCCCCCTACTTATGTACAATATAATGTGAACTCTGTTTCCCCTACTGATGTACAATATAAGGTGAACTCTGTTCCCTCCTACTGATATACAACATAAGGTGACCTCTGGTCCCCCTACTGATGTACAATATAAGGTGTCCTCTGGTCCCCTACAGATGTATAGTATAAGGTGTCCTTTGGTCCCCTTATTGGTGTACAATATAAGGTGACCTCTGGTCCCTCTACTGATGTACAGTACAATATTAGGTTACCTGTAGTCCCCCTACTGATGTACAATATAGGGTGACCTCTGGTCCCCCAAATGATGTACGATATAAGGTATCCCCAGGTCCCCCCTATTATGTGCAATAAAAGATTACCTTTGGACCCCTATTGATTTAAAATGTAAGGTGACCTATGATCCCTCTGATGATGTACAATATAAGGTGACCACTGGTCTCCCTAATGATGTTAAATATAAGGTGGCCTCTGGTCCCCCTACTGATGTACAATGTAAGGTGATCTTTGGTCCCCCTATTGATGTACAATATGAGGTTACCTCTGGTCACCCTTTATTACTTTCACGTTTCTGCTAATACATATATATATTAGAAAGTTGATCTTTATAAAGTTATAAATATGATTATTTTGGAGTAAGACAAAGAAAATTGTCTATCATATAAAATTCAATTAATATATAAGGTGACCTGAGGTCTCCGTATTGATATCGATGAATTTACTTTTGTGCCTTTAATGCCTGGAGAGTTCCTGTATTACTACAGTTTTTCAATGCATTGAAACTGTAGTACAAAAATTGCCGATAGGCAAAGCACTCTGTGTCATCAGTTCATTTAAAGACTGTGTACTGATAAAACGGGTGCACAAAATGTCTGAAAAATTACCAGTGTAGTAGAGCAGGACAACCTCAGCTAGCTCTCTCCCGGAATCTCTTCCATGAAGTAAGATTTCCACCCGAGGTGAAATCTTACAATCCCCCTTTCTTTTTCATAGTAGGATTTCCGCCATTTTTCAATACGAGATATTTTTGGCCAAAAAGGTCCAAAGAATTTTTAATGAGAATATAAAAGCTTCAATATTGACAAATATTTTTTTTTAATTTAGCTTTTTGACAAATTTTTTTCAAAGACATCAACCAAGCACTGAGGAAGTTTTTACCACATACATGTAATCAGTTCCTACAATACAATATTTTTAAAATTAAACAAATCTTTAATAAAATTCAATATTTCGAACCTTTCATTGGATTAATGAATGGTAACATCATATTATTTTACTCTGAATGGCTAGAGAGAGAGAGAGAGAGAGAGAGAGAGGAATCCAAAAAATTATAAACTTTGGCATTCTTTTTGTAAAAATGGTTACCTTTGCAAATACCGCAGAATTTTCTGCAGTTATCTTCGCGCCATAGGCGATACAGAGGATTTATGCATAAATCGCTTTGATATTCGTCACAGTTAGGAAGTTTGTCTTGACATGCAACTGTAACTGTCGGTGCTAAAAAATAAAAATATTGTTTTAGATTTTGCTTATCCCATATTTTTTGGTCAAAGCATAAACAAATTAAAAGAATCAAACATCCTCTATTACCCTTCAATGTTTTCGCGAGTTTTTGTTAATTCAATTGATTTATTTATTTCTGTTTTGTTTTGTTTTTAATACTTTTGAGAAATCTGTAATATTGACAAGATTGACTAAAACTAGTAATTTCATAGGATTACTTTACATTCAAAATTTAATTTATTATTTAAGAATCGATACACCTTAAAACTGTATCAGTTCCCTAATATGAAACTATATTTGTATTACTGGTACCTGTCAAAGCTTTTTTTCTGGAGAATAGCAGAGACAAATTGATTTATAAATTTTGTTATAGAAAATTGCCACCGGTTTATACACAAGACAAATCACCTCATTACTTTCTTAATGGCATACCTTGACAGAATCCACAATACAACGGGCAATTACTCTGAGCCCAAGGATAGTAAATTCCATCCCTGCTGCATATCTTTGCCGAATTATATACTTTACAATTTAGTGTATCTCTGCAATCTTACACAAAAAATAGTTAAGATACAAGTTAGAATACAACAATCAAATGTTTTTCATTTTGATTTATACAATTATATTTACTCACAAAAATAACTTTTTGATAGCCAAAAATAACGAAATGTAAATTGGAAATACATATGTTTAGCAAGTTCTTTTTTTTTCAAAGATATATTTATAACTGGATATTATAAAAACCAGAAGTATCTGTTCAGACTGTAGCTCTACTAGTTTAAACTTATAATAAGGAAGAGAAAAGTAGCAGTTGGGACTTAAAAATTTACGACAGCAATAAATAGAATAATGATCCTTTATTAATTTTCTTTTTATGGCAAGATTGCAATAAGCCCAGTTGTAAAAGTAGCTTTACAATCTACAAAATTTTCAATTTTAGTTACCATAGGAGCATTAATCATCAAAATCAGAAACACAAAACTGATAATTATGTATCTTAGTGTAGTCTACATGCATGCCAAATTATATTACAATCTGACTAAAACTGTATTTGGAGTAGCATTTTGAAAGTATTTCACAGAAATTATTTTTTTTAGTTACCAAGGCAACACCACTCTTTAAAATCAAAAACTCATACACAGGATAACGTATCTTAGTGTAGTTTAGTTATGTGCCAAGTAATATTGAAATCAGACCAAAACTGTACGAGGAATAGCATTTTTAAAATATTTCACAGAAATTTCTATTTTTAATAAATACAGCAACACCGTTCATCGAAATCATAAACCGATATACATAATTCCGTATACTACTGTAGTCTACTTGTTTGCTAAGTTATATTGAAATCAGACCAACACTGTATGAGGAGTAGCATTTTAAAGGATTTAAGTAAAATATCTATTTTAAGTAAATACGGTAACACCATTCATCGAAATTAAAAAAAAACGATATACAGAAATATTTATCTTAGTGAAGTTTATGTATGTGCCAAGTTATATTGAAATCAGACCAAAACTGTAGGAGGAGTAGCATTTTGAATAGTTTTTTACAGACGGACGGACGACGGACGCATTACTATAGCATAAGCTCTTCTGGTCTCTGACCAGTAGAGCTAAAAAAGAAGACCACATTCAGAAAATGGGAACATAACAATGAGACAGGGTATTGACCAAAAGCTAATAACAAAAGGTTACATGTATCGACATTTTTTTTTACAATCAGCAATTAGGAAAGTCTATGATTGATGAATGATGCATAAACTTTGTTTTCAAATTTTAAAAAACGCCTTGAATTTGAATGTTGAATGACGTCTTTGATAGAAATTGTTAGAAAATAATTTTAGACAGAAATGATTATGAATTTTTCCCGCTTAGCCAACAAGGACTAATCTGCTATATTTGAACATTATGCTTTCCTAAAACCCGCTGACTATATCTACCTTAAGAAATTCTAGCTCTATGATCAATGTGTCTTATTGTAGAATTTTGATGAAAATTTTGATGAAAACGTTGTAATTATTCATCCACCAAGCACCCTATATTAAATATGAAAAGTACTGATCTGCTGGGTATATAGCAAATATCGTGTCACTGTTGGTGCGATAAAAAAAACCCTCTCTGAGTAACTATATGTAATGTGACGCTGAATAACATACAATCAATTCGTCAATGTAACTTTATTGGAACGACTTTTTCTTGTTTTAATTCACTAGTTATTTAAAAATTAAAATGCTAGAGTATACTTCGAAAATTAATGCACTGTTTTAACTGGGAATTCAATTAATATAAAATATAACCTGTTTGTGCTGTAGGAATAGACAGTGAAATTGTAGAGTGCCTATTTTGGTCTGAAAACAGAAAGTCATCACTCAGTAAAAGTTATAAAAATGGAATACAAAAACACCCCTCGAAATTCAAGATAAATTCTAGAGGCGGGATCGGGTACCTAGGAGAAGTAAACATCCCCTGTTGGCTGGTCACCCGTCGTGAGTTCTAGGTAATAATCAAGCGACAGAACCTCTGTAGTCTTTACAATTAATATGAAATAAGTTAGCCAAAATATAATCCTATTATTGGTTATATTTGCTCATAATGTCGACGTATCGACAATAGAATTTACGCAATGCTGAAAATGATATGAATAATAATTAGGTATTTTTATCATATTAATTATCATTTACCCTGTGATAAAATTTATGTTTGAAATTGAATTAACACAGTAAAGATGAATAGATTAGTATGAGTTGTAAAAAAAAATTAAAGACATTTTTTGACAGTATTTCTTTTTTCTAACATTCAAGCATACTTCTCGATCAAACAAATGAATAATTGTACCTTGACAAAATAGCAGTAAGGAGTTGATCCTAACTTCGCGGGTTCGAATTCGATCATGAGACATCTGCTCTAAATACGCAAAGTAAGGAATTGATTCTTACATCGTGGATTCGAATTCGATTACGGGACGTGGAGACCAGTCCTTCTGCTGACACTATATTTAGACCGAGGTCCTGTGTCGCAGTATGTGCTGGCACGAAGAAGATCCCTTACTACTGAATTGCCCTAGTTGCTGAGCATGTCAAAATTTGCAACTTTCCATCAGTAAGTGGAAGCGTCTCGATATTGGTGAAAAATTATCCTAAGAGACGTTAACCAACAAACAAACAAAACCTTGACAGAATCCGCAGCTCTTCTCACAATTCCTTCTGGCCCAAGTGTAGTAAGGACCATTCACATCACAAATTGCAGTTGAATTGTAAAGAGCACAGTTAGCACTTGGTTCATCTTTGCATAAAGCTACTACAAAAATATTTACTAGTACATGTACATTAATTAACCATTTTATATGTACCTAAACTATAGCTATACACATTGAAAAATATTTCAAATCCATTACTTTTATAATACCAGTTTACTCTTCATTTTCAAATATAATTATCCAAATGTTTGGATTTTTATTATTTGATTTAAAAAGCAAAAAATTTCTTCGGAATATATAAAAATGTTATATAATTCTTGCTTGGCGTACCGTGACAAAATCCACAGAACAGAGGACAGTGTTTCCTTGCCCAGAGGTAATAAGCACCGTGTAGATCACATATAACCGTGGCGTTGTAGAGAGAACAATTGGCACTGGGGCTGTCGTTGCAGGCTGTTCAAAGAATCAACGATAATTATGTGTTTATCATGTTTATTAGAAGCTAAAAATGCATGCAGAAGATTCTGTTTATCGTATAAGATATTTTTGTTTTTAAAAATTGTATAATGCCAATAAACAATATTCTTTCAATTTTCTACTCTGAACTTTTTCAAAACAAATCATTATTTTATAATGAAAATAATAAGAGTATGCTGGAGTAGACTTCGAAAATCAAATGCACTGTTTTAAGTGGAAATTTATAATAAAGTGATTTAAAACATAACCTGTTTGTGCTGTAGAAATAGACGGTGGTATTGTTGAGTGCGTACGCGTATTTTGCTCTGAAAACAGAAAGTCACCACTAATTAGAAGTTATAAAAATATCTTGGATGTGGGAGATATTCTTTTCCAAAAGTAATTTACTGTATTGTACGTGATAAATACTATATAGTATACTAAAGCCAGACACATTTATTATTATTTCTTGATTTCAATTTCTTTAAGTATTTCATTAAGCCTTTATATACTAACTTTCAGAAGCTAAAAGTGATGTCCGTGTTGAGGATGGAGTTGTAAAAGGAGTTGTCCAAGTAACTTCATTAGAAAAAGAAAATATCCAATATAAAACACCACGAATAATGTAAAAAAAATATTTTTGGATATTTTACTGTAAAATTGTAACACAGAAAAAAAACGCGACTACTTTCCTAAATTTTGCAGCAGTACACCATACATTTTCATTTGCATATGGAGTTTAATTTTCCATGTTTATTTGATACTCAAGATTATGCTCTTCGCACAATTTCTTCAAAGGAACAGGCTATTGACAAATAATTAGTTAATTCCAAAAATCGGCATTAATTTTTCAAGGTCAACATTTCGCAAATTCTATGTTTTAAACAATAGCATTGGTAAGAAAAGCAATTTTTGTGAAGTCAAATGCTAACTGCGTTCAAACAAAGTGATATTTTATACTGAATTATTTAAGTTTTTCTTGATAATGACAAAACAATGCATTATTAAATATATGGAGATAACGAACAATATTTAAGATTAAAAGTCCATAAAATAATACAAAATAGGAGCGTAGCAAACACGGACCTGGAAAACATTACAGTTGGGGTCTGGTTCCATGAAGGAGTGAGCATCTCCTGCTATGTGCTCCTTGTCATGATCGCAAAATAACGGGAAAATGAAGGATATGGAGTTAGCGAACAGTATTCAGTTTCAAAGTCCATAAAACAATACAAAATAAGAGCAGAGCAAACACAGACCCCCGAAACATCAAAGGTAGGATCAGGTGCCATGGAGGAGTGAGCATCCCTTGCCGACCGGTCACACCCGCCTTGTGCTCCTTGTCATGATCAGGAAATAACGGGAAAAATCTGTCGTCAATTCAGTGTATAAATATTGGACTAACAATAAGTATGAAAACCATCAGTCAGAATTTTACTCAATAATAATTTATATTTGCAGACAAGGTATTGTATGGATCATAGAACTTACGAAATCATGACTTTCAATGAGACTGCTGATACTGGTATTCTTGTTTCATCAACTTCTTTATTAACAATTTACCTCGTTTAAGAAATTGCTTATACTTAGAGCATCCCCTTGTTTATCGAATCACTGTGATATATACACTCCGTATGAATGTGATGAAGGTATATTGCTGCATAAGGGAAACTTGACGATAGAGACGTTAAAGTCGTCACGTTTATTTTAGAGCTTAGTTGTCAATTAACAATGGAAGTAACCACTGTTAATTGACAATACGTCGTCGATTTATCTAAATGTCGAGTTGAAGGCCATAGCAAGTGTTTTCTTCTTTACACGCGTACGATTTTGCACAAATTCTGCTTCATTTGAATAAAAAATAGGTTATTATCGATTATCCTTTGATAATCACGTATAATCTGTTAAAATGAAGATATCATTCTTGATAGTCCATGTAAATTACGACTTAGGAGCAGAGCAAACATGGGTCGCTAAAACATTAGAGGTGGGACCAGTATCATGGAGGAATAAGTATCCTTTGTCAACGGGTCACATACGCGGTATGCTCCTTGTCATCTTCAGGTTAAGTTTCAAAAAAAAAACTATTTTTTTGCCACATAAAAATGTGATAATCATTTAAATATCTCTTTAATCTTTTTACTGTCATTTATATTACAAGAATAAGGACAAAGGGATTTAGAGTCTATCCGGTTTTGTGTTTCCTATTGTAATCGTGACAAGAAACACATGATGGGTGTGACAGATATTTCCTCCTTCGTGGCACCTGGTCCCACCTTAACTGTTGAGCAAAATTACAGTTCGTTATCTTCGTATATCATATAAAAATAAGTATACATCACGCTAATGAGAAAATATTATTATTCAGATATCCTGTTGAAGAGATTGTTATTTTCTAAGGGAAAAGGATGAATGGCTTTTTAATTCTATCTTTTGATGTGTGAAGCAAATTCTAGTATTTACTGTAGTATATAGAAGTATGAAGATAAACAAGCTTTCTTCGCCATTGGTAAGAGAAATGAAATAGTTATTTCTAGAATGTACCTGGAGTACCGGTATATTTACACATACTACAAACAAATGGACACAGAGGTCTGGTGTCATTCGAGATGCAGGATTGTGGGTAAGTAGAATAACAAAATGGAGGATCCCTAAAAAGTATACATGTATACAACCATTTGGTAAGCATTTATCGAAATACCACGTAAAACTAAAATCTTAAACATCCATTGATATAATATAAGTTCTGTACTTTGTTTATGAATATTTTATGCTGAATTTCTTTCTCTCTTTAGAGCTTCCCTTTAATATGCCGACGGTCCATTAATTTTTTTGCAATTGCAGCCGTGCCCATAAGCGCTTAATAAAAGAGTTACATGTATATACTGTACTTATATCTTAGAACTCTGCTTCTTCATTTCACTGTTCTGAGAAAAAATCAATCTCTTACTTTGGAAATCTCTTTGTCCAACTCCTCGGAATGAATATGTTTAATTCGTTTAAACATGTTTTTTTAATTATGACCCACTATCACCCCTAATACAAACTTTCCATCACAGTTATGGATGCCAGAACGTTTCCCATTCTTTATTGCAGGGTTTTCTGTGGGGACATTCACTACCGGGAAAAAAGACTCCACTGTCACCATGCCTAAATAATACGGATCATGAAGTTAGTTAAGCCTTAAGAAATCAATTTAATAGCTACTGGAAGCGTATTAGTGCCACTTGGACACTTTTTTTTTTTTTATTTCAACACTTTAATCGGTAAATTTTTTAGTCTGTAGAATTTACACTTTAATCTGTAAAATTGAGACTTTAATTTGTAAATTGTACACTTTAATCTGTGAATTTTACACTTTATTCTGAGCAGCCTGTACTGTAATCTGTTAACATTAAAATTACGGTCATTAAACGAATTTGCATATGATGATATCAATAACATATTCACTGAGAATACATACGGTACTTAGTAATAAATACAGGTTTTTTTGCATATATGCGATATGGCTGACGTCACAATAGCCGTATCAGCCCTGCAGGACTGATATGGATTTGCGGGGCTGATATAGGTTATCAACCCTGCAGGGCTGATAGGGATTAATATCACATCCCTAGTAAATTAAACCTCAAAAAACAGTAATTGTGATCATACACATATTTTGGGGGTTACATAATTCTCTTAACGACAGATGATACAAACAAATTTTTTCTTTGAAAAAGATTAAATATCATGTCACAAGTTTAGAAAAGTGGATGGTCCTTAGAATTTTTTCTCTGAAGAACTGGAAAATGAAATAGACTTGGAAAATATTAGTAATATTTCAAAAAAACAAAACAAATATAGACAAATCACATTCAGTAAAGGTTAACATGTACAGGTGAAAACAAATTTCAGAATATGTTACCTTGGTGCTAAAAGTGTAATATTAACTTTTGAAAAATATACCAAGCCAGGTGAATTTTAAGAGGCATATCAAAATGACAAAAATTTAGCAATATCACATAGGGTGATTTTTACCATTTAGCTTTACCTAATAAAATTCACCTGGCTTGGTATATTTTTCTTAAGTTTATATTACACTTTTAGCACGATGGTAACATATTCTGAAATTTGTTTTTACCTGTAAACCTGTACTGAATGTGATTTGTCTATATTTGGTTTTTCATTGAAATATTACTTATATTTTCCAAGCCTTTTTCATACTCCAGTTCTTAGGTGAAAAAATTCTAACCTAAAGAAAAATCCACTTTTCTAAATTTGTGACATGATATTAAATCTTTTTCAAAGAAAAAAATTGTTTGTACCATCTGTCCTTAATTTTAATACCTTTTTGAATGTAATGATAATATAATTGATAAAAATAGATTATTTTAAAATTACGAATTGGGGACATTTGAAATAGAAGTACATGCAGAAACAAACCGAAACTGTATGAGAAAATAGACTGTGTACATTTTAAGAAGATTATTGTTAAACCTTGTATCATATATATTTCTTTTCATAACAATAAATACATTTTCTTTGTGATAATAAATAATTTTTATTGTGCAATGTCCCTGTCGCTTAATTCTATTTCAACCACATTACAAGCAAACACAAAGATTATACACCTGATAGTTTTGTTCTCCTTTATTTACTGATGGGCTAAATTTGAAATTTCAATAGATTAATTACTCCTACTTAGATAATGTAATATGAAATTGAACAATTTGAGCAAGTTTTATAAATATGTTTACGGAATGAAAGACATTTTCAATCGTAGAGATAAGAAAGAAATGTACGTTACCTATATTCTTCCATTAAGAATATATATTAAGTAGAAAATATGAGACGACTCTGAATAAGCAACCCCTTGTATCCTGTAAACTGGCAAAGACGTTTTGCGTAACACAATTAAAAATTATTTTTTACATGAAAAGTGATCATTTGAAATGTACGTGACTGAAATGTACGTTACCATGAAATTCGAATTAAGTGAATCTCGCACGAATTTTCATGTATTCTCATACTTTCATACACTCGAATGTGTACACAAAGGAAAGTTTCAAAGGTTGTAGGTCGGCTAAATCCCAAAATTAATGAAAAGAAACGTTTCTGCTGAGGAAAAAAATATATTAAGGTCAATTATATGTAATATAATTTTGATACCTGGTATATATTTCTGAATACGAATCCTGTATGATGCATTTCTTATCATATGCAAGTTCGAATAGTATCAATATATTGCGTGTCTAACGTACGCTTGTGGAAGAGAATTGATTTTTATATTTGAAATGTACGTTACGTATGGTAACGTACATTTTTCGTATTTTTACTGACATTTTTTTTTAATTTAGTCAATGAATTGCGTTTACACGAGCGAAACAAAATTATCGTTACAATCCATTTGACAACTGGCCACATAAATCCATCTAAATGCACCCCTAATCCTCGTAAATGTTTTAGACTGTTACCACATGCTAGAAAATTTATTTCAAAGTGTCTTAAATTCATCTTTGGCAACCTTTTTGCAGTTTGTTTACTTTTAATATACGACTTTTCGTCAATATTAATTTAATTGTTGTTGATAATTTAAAACAAGGTATGCATAGGCTTATAATTGGTAAAAAAAGAAACAAAAAATAGAAAAAAAGAAACAAATAGGCCTAAACCCAGAACACAAGACGGTCACGTACATTTCAAATACTGAAAGGCACACAATACTCAGTTTTGTTTGAATTATTGCATTTTGGGTTATATTTTTCCAGATCTGCTGAAAAGCACGTATGCTTGTGTTTTGAAAAACGAAGTTGCAACATACTAAATGAAACTGTTAACAAACTGTCGATGAATATATTCGGAATAGATTTATGTCAAGTTTCAATGGCCAAACACGAGCATTTGTTAGATCATAGCAAAATACGTCTGACTCTTATATTTTTTGTCTGTACCCTTGCACACAGGTAGAAATAACCAGGCTACGACCGGTGTCAATTTCAGCGAAATAGCACAAAAGAATGGTAATGAACTGAGGTGGAGGGGACTCTCCAATAATATGTGAAATGAACGTTACCGAAGTGACGTGACATTCATGTAGTTGATGACAAATAACCTCGTTTGTTACATTATGATTTCTTATATTACTGCCTTAAAACGCTTCATTAAAATGATTTTTATGTCAATAATTGCTTTTTTTTCAAAAAATTTTTATTACTAATTTACATATTATTACAAGCTTGAAATGTACGTTACCTACTCATATTCTGAGGCAATCATGTCTTTATAATTGTGATTGCGACATATAACACAATGTGATTACATAGAGAATCTTTTTTTAATAAACTGAAACAAAACGATGAATTTTTAGATGAATTTTAAGTATTTTATTAAACAGAAATATATCTTGAAATGTACGTTACATTTACGTAGTTTTCTAAATCGGCATGGATATATGTTAAAAAAGACAGTAACTACAAAATAGAATTTTACTACATGTACATGTTAGGTTCCAGTATCTATAGAAAATGACAAGATTCCAAAACTGATCGCTCTAAACAAAACAGAGAGAAGAATTTAAAGCATATATTTAAAAAATGTTTTTATACATCTGGATCAAAAAGTAACCATTGTTTTTTGAAAGGAAAAATCAAACGCAAGTTCGTATGCTGAGAAAATATGTTGCTGACAGAGTTGGTAGGATGTGCTGGTGTTAAGATGAGCTATTCCGATTGTGATTTTAATGACTACATTTTTTTTTACATATCTTTTTGGACATTGAAGAAAGAGTAACGTACATTTCAAGCTACATTTCTGAATAAAATCACCCTCTGCTTTATCGTCTTGTCATTATTCCATGTATTATAATTTGATGAAAAAAAATCTGGAAACAAAATCTTCAGATACTTTCTTTCAAAGATAATTGATAGAAAAATTGTTTTCTTGAACTTCATTTTTTTAAAAATCAGAGAGGCATTTGTGCCCTTATATTGAGAATGGGTGTTCTCTGCTTCTTCATTTCACTGTTCTGAGAAAAAATCAATCTCTTACTTTGGAAATCTCTTTGTCCAACTCCTCGGAATGAATATGTTTAATTCGTTTAAACATGTTTTTTTAATTATGACCCACTATCACCCCTAATACAAACTTTCCATCACAGTTATGGATGCCAGAACGTTTCCCATTCTTTATTGCAGGGTTTTCTGTGGGGACATTCACTACCGGGAAAAAAGACTCCACTGTCACCATGCCTAAATAATACGGATCATGAAGTTAGTTAAGCCTTAAGAAATCAATTTAATAGCTACTGGAAGCGTATTAGTGCCACTTGGACACTTTATTTTTTTTTTATTTCAACACTTTAATCGGTAAATTTTTTAGTCTGTAGAATTTACACTTTAATCTGTAAAATTGAGACTTTAATTTGTAAATTGTACACTTTAATCTGTGAATTTTACACTTTATTCTGAGCAGCCTGTACTGTAATCTGTTAACATTAAAATTACGGTCATTAAACGAATTTGCATATGATGATATCAATAACATATTCACTGAGAATACATACGGTACTTAGTAATAAATACAGGTTTTTTTGCATATATGCGATATGGCTGACGTCACAATAGCCGTATCAGCCCTGCAGGACTGATATGGATTTGCGGGGCTGATATAGGTTATCAACCCTGCAGGGCTGATAGGGATTAATATCACATCCCTAGTAAATTAAACCTCAAAAAACAGTAATTGTGATCATACACATATTTTGGGGGTTACATAATTCTCTTAACGACAGATGATACAAACAAATTTTTTCTTTGAAAAAGATTAAATATCATGTCACAAGTTTAGAAAAGTGGATGGTCCTTAGAATTTTTTCTCTGAAGAACTGGAAAATGAAATAGACTTGGAAAATATTAGTAATATTTCAAAAAAACAAAACAAATATAGACAAATCACATTCAGTAAAGGTTAACATGTACAGGTGAAAACAAATTTCAGAATATGTTACCTTGGTGCTAAAAGTGTAATATTAACTTTTGAAAAATATACCAAGCCATGTGAATTTTAAGAGAAATATCAAAATGACAAAAATATTGCAATATCATATAGGCTGATTTTTACCATTTAGCTTTTCCTAATAAAATTCACCTGGCTTGGTATATTTTTCTT